AAGGTATGTAAGGGAAATGTAAGGAAAATTAAGGGAATGTAAGAAAAATTAAGGGAATATAAGGGAAATGGAAGGTAAGTTAAATGTAAGGAAAATCAAGGGAATGTAAGGGAAATGTAATGATTGTAGGGGAAATGTAAGGAAAATTAAGGGAATGTAAGAGAAATGGGAGGTAAGGGAAATGTAAGGAAAATAAGAGAATGTAAGAGAAATGAAATGTAAGGAAAATTAAGGGAACATAAGGTAAATATAAGGAAAATTAAGGGAATGTAATGGAAATTTAAGGAAATGTAAGGGAAATGTAAGGAAAATTAAGAAAATGTAAGGGAAATTAAGGAATATAAGGGAAATGTAAGGAAAATTAAGTGAATGTAAGGGAAATCAAGGAAATGTAAGGAAAATAAAGGGATTGTAAGGAAAAGGTAAGGAAAATTAAGGGAATGTAAGGAACATTAAGGGAAATGTAAGGAAGATTAAGGGAATGTAAGGGGAAAATTTTCAGGATTAATTTCCCCATGGAAAGGGTGCTCAGCCTTGGCAGGGGCTGCCCGGGGAGGTTTGCAGTGCCCATCCCTGGAGGTGCCCAGGGAATATCTGGAGGTGGCACTCGTTGCTCTGGGCTGGGGACAAGGTGGGGACCAGGCACAGCTGGGATTTGACAATCCAGGAGGGCTTTTCCAACCTTAAAAATTCTGGGATTCTGTGAAGGGAGCAGGGCCAAAAGGGATTTTCTAGTGCACCTCAGATTATTGCAGATTTTAACCTCATTTGTGTCCCATCCACCCCTGCTCTTGCATTTCCCCACACATGAACACCCTGTTATGCAAAAACAGCTTTAGGAAGTGATTTATTTGCAGCATGGCTTCAGTGGGATGGAAAATCCTTCCTGGGGCAGGTGTTGCCATCCTCACTGCTGCTTTCTCCCCTGCACATGTTGTATCCTGCAGTAAATAAATGAATTTGGTTTTCAGAGCTGCCAGGGGAACTGAACCATCTGTTCTGTGCTTGCCTTCCCAGCCCCAGGTGTGAGCAGAGGAGTGTTTGACCACCAGCCTGAGCCTGCTCAGTGGAAAAACAAAAGGTTTGAAGACTCTTCATCCCCTCCCAGCCCACTGGAGGATGGTGCAGGGCTCCTGNTATAATTTTTATGGAATAATATAAAATATAAATAATATGTGTGCATAAATTAAATAATTATATATAAGATGTATGAAAATTTCTATAAAATAATACAAAATATAAATAATGTGTACAAATAAATAGATAAAATATAGAAAATTTTCTATAAAAGAATATAAAATATAAGGAATGTAGAAATAAAATTTGTATATATAGATATATAAATATTTATATTAAAACAATATAAAATATAAATAATGTATATAAAAATAAACTATTTATATAGATATATAAAAATAAAATTATATAAAATATAAGTTATATATATGAATAATTTAAAGTAATGTATAAATAATATAAAGTAATTCCAGAGGGTACAGGGCATGCAGTGTGCTTCCTGCTGTGATCTCTGATTGCACTGACTTGGCTTTGATAGACCCGAGCTGAGTCTTAGCAGCTTTTTATCCCGCCATGTGGAACATCCCTTGAAGCAGGTTTAAGACCCAGCAGGTGCTCACCCCGTAAATCAATCCTGCCTGGCAGGCACTGGGAGCAGCTCCTGGAGGCTGCCCAGGCTCCTCCTTCAGGGTTACACCTGGGAGTAAATCCCTGGTAGCAATGGAGAAGCGTTTCCTTCCCAGGGATGGCGCTGCTGCAGCCCAGCTCTGGATGGCACAACCCAGGCGTGATCCTTGTCTTGTTGGAGAAGCCAATTCCATATTTTCTTCTTGCTTTCTTAATCCTGTGGTGCTAAAATTCATCAGGATTCAGGGTATCAGACCTCTGTCTGTCAGTGCTCAAAAAAATAATTATCTAAATGAAGTTGTTAAGGTTTATTCCCCAATGGGGCTCAGGTGTTTTAGCAGGTCCTTGTTGGGGTACAGTGAAACTTGTTGGGTTCCTATCACTCAGATTCCTTCCAGCCAGCTCTGGTTCCCTGCAGGTCTCTGGATCTTTGGAGAATTCCTGAGTGTTTGGTTTCTCTGCACCATGATTTTTAGAAGGTTTTTAAACCAATGATTCCTGTTTAAAGTGCTTCCAAATGTGATTTTCCATCAGGATCCAGCTGGCCATGGCATATTATCCCATGTGCATGGGCAGGAAAATGTCCCCCAGGTAACTCAGGGCACAGTGCTGAGCCTGGCATTGCTTTTCCAAGGGGTTTGATTTATTGTCAGTGAAATCTTGGAAAAATCCAGGAGGTTTTTGGTGATTTTTTTTCCCAGATGCTGCCTGTGAGGTGCAGGAGGGATCCCAGTTCCCCACTGCCTGCCCAGGAGCAGGAGGGATGGCTGGGAGGGCACCACCCTTGCACAAAGCATTTTTCATGCTCAGGATCAATTTAAAAATTGCTGCTGATTTTTATTGCTGCGGATGAGTAAGGGGAGAATTTCCTTTGGAGGGGAAAAATTAAGGGAATGTAAGGGAGATTAAGGAATTCAAAGGAAATGTAAGG